CGTGTCTCGAAAGACTCGGCAACCGTTTAAACCCGTGGCTTGCCCTGGGTTGTCCAGCCCTACGTTCCTGCGGATGGCCCCTTCAATGCGCAAGGAAATCGTTTGTCGGTCACAGCAGTCGCGATTTCTACGGCCGACGACACTCATTCCCCGACACACGAGCCCCTTTTACCTTCTCGTTTTTTTCCGCGCCCCGAAAACATCAAACAAGCCCCATTCCGACGCCGATGGAGCCCTTGGACAATTTTCCGTGTGACTTGGGGCAACTCGGGGGCCTGAACTATTGTCGGTCTGGGGAAGAAAAGGTTCTCGTTGGATCAACATTGTTGACGTTGGTTTGACATAATGGAAAAGACTGCCTCGTTCGGTCACGGCTATTGTCGTCCTGACTGAGTGCCTTTCTTTTCTGTTCGTCTGGGTCCTGCGAGAAATCTGCCCGGTTTCCCATCCTTTCGAACGGACTGCAGGGTCAAACCCTAAGATGGAGGATTCCAGCCACCTTTGAGGTCGAATCGGATGGAGGTATATCAAGCCATCTGCGAGTGGTCGGGGGATTTTGATCGCAACTCGCTCATTCCGCATGGGAGGGTTTCACGATACACTCGGTTAGACCGCAGCGCAGCGTGGATTTCCCTCACCTCGGATGTATGCGGGCTGTGATTCGAATGGTCCATATACATACATGGGACTGTCTGCGCTGACAATTGAACGGCCTGATTCTGAAGCTCTTTGTCTGTTCTTATTTGCCTCGTACTTGTCTCGGCAGTGGCTATGAAGCATTGCAGTATTTCATTTTGAGTAGGCTTTTTATGCTATCCAGGGCAGGCAAGGCAAAGCAAGGCACTGCCGCTCTGATCCCGGCAGGTCTGCTCGGTACTATCAGACAATGTCTCACGAGGCGCCAAAGCTAGATTTGAGAGGTGACTTGAGTAGTTATATATTGTGCTTCGAGGGGCGATTCTATTCGTTGATGGATTGATAAGACAAGTACAGTAGGTAGTACGTGTCTCCATCTCCTCCGTCTTTCCTCTCCTTCTCATTTGTCCTCTGATAGCCATAATAAGTAGTACATCACCACTAGAATATCCCTACCTTCTTTACCTCCACGGCACCACGGGTCGGTACGGTATCCCTCTCTCTTGAATGGCGCCGGGAACACATTGAGGCCCGTGGCAGGAATCGCAGTGCCACATGCGGCGGTAAATCCAGATCGATCTGAGGGTATATAATGTTACTTATCGTGCACGAGTTCCAGGACTGGCGAGCAAACTAGCAGGCAGGCAGGTAGGCAAGCAGGCCGGATGCATGCATGCACGCATGCACATAAGTGATCAGATCTCCTGGGCTCTCTCATGGCCAGTAGCCACGGCACCCTGCCATGTCAATAGTAGGAGAACTGGGAAGGTCCTGGCATGCGGACTGGCCGTATGTACCGCGGCTCTTGAGGTATGCCGCATACGCATTTGTTATCTGAGCGCCGCAGTGTGGGTTGCCAGGTCTTGTGTGCGTCGTCTTCATCTCTTGGGCAGGCTCCATCTCTCTCCAGCATCTCGTTGCTTCCCCTCAAAAGTTCTCTTCACATCGGTAGGGTAGGACAGGATATTGCCGCGCACGCAGATCGAGCGGGTAGGGGAGGTAGACACGAGTGGACGGATAGGCAGGGCGTGCGGCGGCGCAGGTGAGAACAGAAGGGATCTCAGGTCGTGCGCAGGTCGTCGTTTCTCGTTACGGAGCGGCCGGCGAAGTCGGTCATTCGGCGAGATTAAGACGACAGAGGTTTCTGCATCGTTCAGTAGGGGGGGGGGGGGGGGGAGTGTGCCGTGGTGACTCTGTTTGAGCCTCGTATCTGCATGATCAGCATCCTCATAAGGTGTATGAAAATCTGTTACAGAGGGTCCATGAAGCACATCCATCGCAAACTCGAAAGACGCAGGGGACGATCTCAATGAGATCTTGAGATGCGCCCGGCCGCAGGTTTCCACCCGGCGCAGACATCAGAGCGGCGATCATGCCTCGAGCGCCGACAGACAGAACGAGAGCGGGGACGTGAATCAATTCAGAGCCAAGTGTGGTTCAAACGTTGGCTGTCAGGAGGGCGACAGAGGCACGAAGGACGGCACATTATCATGAAGCGACGTTTGCAGCCTGGATCGTGACCTCAGACTTCAGAAAGAAGTGATGATTCTGCCATTTGTAGGCGGTGAGACCCGTTTTGGTCTAGCCGGAAGTACTCGTGCGGAGAAACTGGCAGCCGTGCGGGGAAGGACTTGGTGCTGCCGAGGTTACGAGGCTGCAGACATCGAGGCTCGCAGGCAACGAGGCTGAGGCACCAATTCTACAAGGCGTTGAGGAAACGACGCCGCCGTGCGACCAAGCCTTGACATGGCTCTCCTCTCGATTGCGGTAGGTAGCCCAGCCGACTCGCTGAGACTGTTCGAACTTGTAATGCCACTTTGTAACTTAGGCAGACGGTCAGCTTTCGCTCCAGCGACATTCCACCCCAGAAGTCCGGGGACGAGGCACAATTTATTTCGCGGCCGTTGTGGAACAGGCTGTTAGGCGCGAAGACACTCACCCTTCAAGACCTCAGTGTGCCAGTGTAGGGGAAGACACAAGTGAAGCTGACTACCGTGACTTGCCAGGAGAAATGAAGGCATACCCCCAACGAAGCCTGACCGTCACCGCCTTCCCGCAGGTCAAGTCTCTGGGCTAGTTCCCTCCCTATTTGCATTCGCACCAGGGTGTCCGGTGTCAGGAACGCGAGGGACTTCTGTGCGCCTCCCGGCTTCGGCGTCGTTCACACCACCACTTCGCCTTTTTCCCTGCCCCATGGTAAACATCATCACTGGCAGCAACGTCGACTCATCTGGCTCCTGACCCTCCTCCACGTCTTCGAGTAAGCCCAGAGGATAAACACCTTGCTATGCTATGCACTCTGCGAGAACGATGAGTACAGGGCGTGAAGTAATATTTTCACGTGATCAGAAAATCACGTGCTGGCAGTTATTCCAATATGCGCAACATTCCTTCCGTCGTTGGCCATCGACATCCTCCAATCGCGAATGATGCGCTCATGCTTGGTCCTACAATAGGAGACGCTAAGTTCCCAATTGGTTTCACGGCGTAGCTGTCAAAAGATGAAATCCCTAGTCACGTCAGCGAGTCAGCCAGTCTGCGAGTCTGCGAGTCAGCGACAGAAGCATGCTAGGGGTGGAAGAGTTACATGGGGAAAATATGCTTTTCAGACACCTCCTTCAGGCAATGCTCCTGCCCGAGTCGGGACGTTTGTGACACAGCAAAGCGATTTTGAATTTCGGCGAGGGCATGGCTCAGAAGTATGTTTGCCGCGACACCGCCCTTATTCGCAAGGGGTATTTCTGGGGGGAGGGGAGAGAACAGATGACCTCAAACGGCTCAAAGGTTAATCTCTCGCCCTGTCCGACGGAATGGCTGTGGAAATTAAATCCGGGATGCAAACTTCGAGCTAAACAGAAGGGGGCTTGGGGTTTCGCTCGCCGGTGCCAGAAAACAGAGTTGAGGGGGAAAAGGATTTGTCCCCAACTATCCATCCCCTGTCTTTTCCATCCGTGACCCTACCAGTGGTCTGTACGGAGAAGCGCAGCCATTTGATGTGTGTGTGTGTGTGTGTAATCTTATATTCGTATGTATCCGCTGCTCGAGTCTATCCGTACCCTCGGCCCGCTTTAACCCCGACGACTGATCCCTTGCCGCGACGAATACGAGCATGCCTCGCTGGAGCTTGTGCTGTTCCGGACACCGGCCCCCCCCCTCTTAAGAAAGTTAATTGCGTTGTTGGATTTTCCATGACACAGCGAGCGCTTATCGGGTAGCAACAGCGTATGGCTCTCCAAAATCATGACTCGACCACCGGAACTCCTTTCGACGACTCCAGTTGTATGCGCACACGCCCGAGAGACTAGTTTAAAGGGGATGCGGCCAAAGTGCCCGAATCCGGCTCGATACATGGTTGGCACTTGGAAACTTCTTTCGCTCCGCTTACCAAGCGTTATGTCATGGGCCATCCCAACCTCGTCTCCAGTTCCTGAACCTCTTCTGCGATCCGATCCTGTCACGGACCTGGTGTGCCAGGGGGGAGATCTGTTAACTCGACAGAACCTCAGGGAGGGCTTGCTCATTCTAATGAGCGAGCAAGCGGCAGCTAAGCCCACGTCTTCACGGCTTGGTGTCACTTATTGGCATCGACCGACACATTCCCGGATTACTTGACCGTCTCATCTGCCCTTCGCCGAGGAGAACTGTCGACTTATTCATCCCTTTGGTGGGTGGCGGTCAGGTATGTATCTCATCGAAAAGTGTTCGCGTGAGAATCTGTCGCGCAGACGCACGACGACCCGTTTTTATCCCTCACAGGGCGGTCACTCAAAATGAATGGTCACGCGATAAAGCCCTAGACTGTGGCGGGGATGGTATGCCAACCAGGCGCGGACTGCTTACAACTACAGAATCCGATTGACCTCTTGTGGTGGAAGAGTGATAAAGACGCGTCATTGGTTCAACCTGGCTTTCCCCCTTCCTTCCTTTGTCAGACCCGAAAAGTTCATTCCGCCTCACTATTACTCCGGGAGGAAACACTCAGGCAACAAACCAATGTTGCAACAGTCCGCAGCGCTCTCAATGTCGCCATATAATATTGGCAGTTGTGTCGCGGAGATTCACGTGATTCAACGGCTTGGCGCTGCCGAGGTTTATGCGAGACAAAGGAATATCTGTCCAGGGGAGGATCTTCGGTGGTACATATGCGATCGACGACGAAACGGTTTTGAAGCAGTACTGCCCACACTGTGACGGCACCGTTGAGCGTCAAGTGTTTGAACGTCAGGGCCGTCATCCCAACAACGTGAAATACCTGGGCTCGGAGGCAGTGGAGGATGGGATGAAGAATCCCTGGAGTATCAGTTCCCCTCCTTTTTCCCCCTCCACCGCCGTCGACTTCTGGCTTGGAGTTGTCACTCGCAAGGTCAACGCAGCGCGCCGTAACACCTAGAGCACGGCTGGGGTGAGGTATCAGGCTCTTCGCCCGAAGCGTTGCTGCGGAGAGCCATGGACCGGCAGAAATTACCGGCGGCCAGCAACACGTTGACAATCAGGACCTGCAGCTGCGCTCCGGTCAGTGATAGCTCGGCCCTCCCGGGAGACGAAAGGCTCACCGTGTAGACAAACGACCGCTTGTCTTGAAGGATCACCAATGGCACTATATTGACAAAGGCGACGATTGCGTAGAGAAATGCCCGGCAATATTTACTCAAGGTAACGCGGTTCGAGGCGGGCATCTGCTCGGGAAGCACGTTCCACCGTCGAGGCTTCCATTGACCACCCGCTTCCAGCTTTGGAATCGATATGCAAGCCCAGTGGATTTTGATCTTGGGGTTGGCGAGGCTGTTGAGCAGATAGACTATCTTTGTCTCAGAGGCCATGTCGAAAAGAGCCAAGGGACGCCAAGAGATATGGGATCGAGAGAGCTGCAAAACAAAAAAGGGTCGAACATGGTGACTATGTTAGCCATTAGTGAACAGGAAGAAAGGGCGGGTGAAAATTTCGAAGCAAGGCTGGTGGGAAGGCATAATTTAATGGTCTTGCTTCTACACAGGAACAGAGTCGAAATGTTCCAGCATGCCTCTGCTGCTTGATGGAGGTGTATGCACGTGCAGGCATGTTGACAGCATCGCGTTCCACCACTCATCTGATCAGAAGTTGTGTTGCATTTGCGTAGTTCCTGTCCGCAGGAACTAAGCGCGTTTCATCCCAAAGCAATCTGATTAGCTCGCTGACTCTCGCGTAGGACACAGTGACCTCCATATTCCGTGGGGCAGGGAAGATCTGGAAACCCACAGGCCAGTCCTGCGCCTTCAAAATCTGGTGGAAGATGATGTTGATTCTGGTTGGAGGTCGCCATGGGTCCTTGCCATTCTCCAGGTTCTGTATTGTTGAGTGCTGGTGGCCTTCCTTATCTTGGTCACCGATCTTGCTCACTCTGACCGTGCCGGACGATATTCGGAGGAAACAGACGCAATACTTGGAGACTGGGCCTGGAGGGCGGCCAGCGCCGAAGGGAGCCTCCTAACTTTGACACCCCAAGACGGCCAGAAGCACCTGATCTCATTGGCGGATCCAGAGGGGAAGGCAATACCACCCTCAGCGCTTCTTGCTGGCACAATGTCTAATAATTTCTTGCCTTTCAAGTTGAAGCGGCGTTTGGACACCCACAAGAACCTTGGAAACAGTCCGCTCTAGCCGCAACTACAGCCTTGGGCCGTTCTCAAAACTGAACAGGTTTCTCCCGCTGGCAGGATCGTTCCTCACCCAGCCCTTTCTGCCGATCGGTTCCGTTGTCATGCTGCACAGCTGTTTCAAGGTCGACTCGTCGGCATGATTGGCGATGAAGCGGCGGTTGTTGTCTGTCAATCGACCGATTATATGTCCTCGGAGGGGAAGCGAATCGCGGCCAAAGTCAACCGTGTAGGTCTGCAGGGATTATCAGCTCCGCGGTGGACAGATACCGACAAGAAGGAACATTACCTCAACAACCGCAGCGCCATTTGCTCGTTCTTCAACGGCTGGAGGCTGCGCATCAACAACGACTTCGGCAAGTGGTGGTCTTTTAGGATACGGTGATCCGTCTCGACGTGGCTGGGTCGACAGAAGAACGACATGCTGGTAAGTCATGATCCCACCATTGGCGAGGACGAGCCCGACTTTGCCTCTGCCGGCGCGGAGTGCTCGCACCATTTCCGTTAGGGCCTATCGGAAGAGTGCGTTGAGTAAAAGCTGCTGCAAAAGCGAGTTCGGTCCAGTGGTCCCGGGAGAGGCTTACATGCATTGAATAGTTGTTACCCGCGCCGCCGAAAAACGTCAGGCCTCCAAGGAGCGTGACCGGATGCTTCGGGTCAGGAATGGGAATGTCTAAGTGACTGGAGGCTATCTTCGGCACGATGGGAAAACATCTGAAGTTTGTGTTAGTGGATTCTTCCCCACGCCTCGGTGCCGTGCAGTTCACAGACGAGTAGAAGTCGTAAAGATCGACATCTTCCTTATTCACGGTGGAGGCGGCAATGGCGGCGTCTAACGACACGGAGATCGAGGGGCTTGAGTAGAAGTTGGGGCGTTCCCAGACTACCATGGCAATGTCATTCAACCCCGGAACCAACAAAACCATCACGTTCTTGGGAACTTACAGTTCAAGCTGTCCCTGGTGCCGGCGCCACCCAAAGCATAGATCCATTTCTCTTCGGGAATTCCTAGTTCTCTTGCGAAATCGGTCGAAGTTAACAGAACGGCGGCTCCGATATTAACTGCGTTCATCGCGTTCATCAAGAGAGGGTCTGCACTGATCAGCATTCGGGCCTTGGATTTGTGTAGGGTCTTGATGGACGAGGGGTTCCCATCGTACAAGGAAAACATATCATCCGATTCTTGCTGGTCACTGTTTTGATCGACTCGGCGGTTTCGGAGTTTCCGTAAAACCAAGCATTTGGATTCTTTCGGGCGACGGCGGCAAATTCTCCGTACAGATTGGCTGACTCTTGGAAGTTGTCCAAGATGGTCTGGCCGCGATGCGCTCTGAACCCATTCTCGAAGAGGGGATACCCTTGGATGGGTGCTCCAATTTGATGGCGCCCGGCAACGTCTGGAGCATTGTTAATAACCATGTCAGAATGCAAGCCGGCTGTCAACCAACTTTTCTGCAGCTCTCGTGTGGTCGGGTCTTCGACAGCACGAATAGTCTTCTCAATGGTGGTCCAGCCCGGGGGTGGCATGATTTTGGCGGCCAAACACGCCCTCACTGCTCATAGTCACACTGAATGAGCGCCGAGACATCGGGATGGCCTACTCACGAGACGCGAGAGCTTCACCGCCCGTCAGAATGGCGACTTTTGCATCTCCGAGAGATATCCTGCGAGAGGCTTCATCGAAGAACAGGCCTGGCGTACTGCCTGAGTTGAAAGGGTGGTAGTGCTTATGCTTTGGCGCGATGCCTAGATGATGACAGAGAAGGTCTGGGAGGTCGGGATAGGGCCACGTCCAGCTGCGGACGACATCGATACTCTCGACACTCTCTCGGAGCTGTGTTGCTGCAGAGGGTGAGAGGTTTGTATCTTGAAATGCCGTCTCGATGGCCTGAATCATCAATTTCAGAGGCTCCACCGCTTCTTCTGGCTTTCTGGATCGATTCAAGGCATCGCCGACGCCTACCACGATGGGGACCAATCTCGCATCCATTTTTAATGTTGATAGGGAGGGAGAGAGAGAGACAGATGGGCTGTAGTTGAATTACCCCGCCTTGTCCATCTGAAGTTGGAGTTGTCGATTGGGTTTCCCCGAGGGAAGTTCAGCCGAATGTGAACAGAGTAGATCAGCTGCTCTCGGTGGATGTCCGGAGATGGAACAAAATGTGAGCGTCTGTCTGGTTGGCCAAATGTTTGTGATCTGGCCTGGAATTTCGAGGTTTTCTTTTTCGTTGGTTAAATTCTCCAGGTCCTCGTCGCTGCTCTGGTGCTTGACCTCCTGGAAATGAGTGATGCAGCCATGCAGCCATGTAGCCATGACCACGGCTTTCTTCGAGACACTCTCCCTAGTCCTCGACCTTTCAATGGAGAGCGAAATGGTCTTGTGATGGAGGTCTCATACGGGGCAACTGGCTTCGATTTGTGTGCGCCCAGCAGACACATTGGCTGCCATTTTGGGGTGCGGTGCCTGGATAGATGCGTCCTGTTTCAGGATGTCAATCCCCAACGTTGCTTGGAGTGCTCATTTCGGCGGAACCGAGAAGGAACGCGTCAGGGCGCGGACTGGACAAGCAAGTATCTACATAGATGACGGTACCAGACAACCAAAGTCGATACTGCTGTTGAAATATCATCGGTGTTTCCTCCACGCAAGTTCTGTCTACCTGTCGTTCTTCATATTCTCTCGAAATCCGATTGTATCCTTTCCCATACCATTCTGATCTTGAAACAACCAGATTAGTTTTCGCGCGTGCTGTAAGGCACTAGACAACATGTACACTGCTTCCGAAGATTCTCGGTCAGAGATCTTGTTTGCGCCGCACGCTATTTAGCGAAAAGGGACGAATAGGGTTGCAGAGGCTCGGAATGATCGTGGGAACGCCGGTACCGCTCCCGAACGTACTTTGCATCGTCGTTTGAGTGAAATGGATGGAGAATAGAGCCAAGGGGGCTGCAAAGTCTCGATGGTTCAGGTCATCAGCCTCGTGATGCCGACTTTGGGTATATCGAGACGTGTAGTGCAGGTGTAATGGCATTGTACGATTTATGTAGGATTTGCACATCTCTTTGGGACAATCGCTGAAGACCTCCCGGCGCCATTGACTTGATCGCTCCTCGACCGCAATTGGTGTCGACAATTGTTCCTTTCTTAGGAACCTGATCAGTCACAGATGCACAGATCTCGGTGAGCTCTCTGTCAGCGGTGTTTCAGCCATGCTCGCGCTGCAGAGTCGGAAGCAGGTGGGTATTCAGTGGTGCTGGACTGTAAGCCAACCCTCAAGTTGGACTGTGCGAGCTCTTCATCTCACTCCTCGAACACACACGAGCAGATTCCAATTTGTCCGCCTTGTCCGGGAGTCAGTAGGTAGGGTCCTTGTCCGCCCCGCATAGACCACCAGGAAGTGCACACAGTTGAGTCCTATCACATAGCATCTGTAGCGAGCGTCACGAGAGACTCAATGCGATATCAGAAAACCATCGTGTTAACAAAGACTATTCCGCCGGGGACCATATGGCACAGAACACTGGCCACTTCGACCGGACTAGGTGTCAAGCTGGTTGCTGGCTGCTCTGGCGGTGCGGTAACCTGGGATGTGCTGGAGTCATCCTACTCTAGCGAGGTCCTCCTTGCTTCTTGTGAAGATAGATACCATGACAGACCCTCAAATGAGTCCTCGAGCGATGCATCTGGCAGATACCAGCACAAGGGCCGGACGAGTCGTATTCCCCCAGCCAATGTAACGAATCTGTCCAAAAAATCGAGTTCCGGGCGTTGTAATTGGCCGGCATGAAGTATATTGTTTGAGTGATAAGAGCGGCTCCAATATGTTCTTGCAGGGGCAGGAGAGTCGAGATCGGTACCGAGTCCATCTTGTGGGTCGCCAGAACGTGTATCTTTGGAGCACCTCAACGTGTCCATCTTGTCGACCATCCTGTTCCGTCCGGGACGCCATCACGATCACAAGTCCTCGAGCTCCAGTGTCATCAATAGCTCAGACAGCCTGGCTGATTACAGTTAACATGTTGTTGCGACATGTCAATGACGCGAGGACGACGAGTCCCGATAATGCAGGAAAGGTTGTTACTTCTCTACCAGTACTCTGAACATAGCAGCCACTGAAGTGAAGCTCCCCGACTGTTCTACCACGAAAAGCTCTTGCGAGTCCTTCCAATTCGATGACGAGGCTCCGATTGGTACTGAGTGCAGAGCACATTCCGGTCAACTACACGTATGGCAGCAGCATCGGAGCGCTTCTCTGGGGAGAATGCCAAAGTGTTCGACAGTTCGTCGCTGACAGGAGAGGGCAACACCTCCCTAAGCAGGATCTTGGATCGTCAATGGCTTCCCCCTTGTCTCAATCCATGTCCAAATTCTTGTAACGGCACAGTGACATGCTCTCAGTCCTGCCAAATTTTGTCTGCTCGTGTCCACATCGGGGGCTGGGTCAAGTGGCAATACATCTGCAAAGTCGCACTTGACTGGACATGTTTAACAGTCCACGGTCACTGGAGGACAAGCCTCGGGACCAGGCCGGTAAATCACACACTTTCTATTCCCATCTGCGGAATTGCTCACTAGCCACGGAATCTGTCGAGGTACCGCTAACCTTGTTCGACACAACCATCACCCAGCCAAAACGGGCGAGAGGAGCAGGACAGTCTCTTCAATGAAGGCGCCAACTGTCACCTTCTCCTCCGGATGTCGGTGGCCGGCAGTTTCAGCAGGGCTTCTTGCTTCGGTATCGTCGAGCCTTTGAGGGACAGTAGTCTCTATAAAGGCGAATGTCGGATTAATGCTAGATCCGAAGTCGACGCAGGTTCTGGGAAGACCATTAAATCGTATGCTTGAGAGTATTGGCCTCCAACGGAACATCGCTATGAGGCAGAACAGTGGGAAAGAACGCATGAAGCAATCTCCCAACGGAGCGCGTACAGTCGAAGGTGTCAGATCGACGTGGGTGAACGCCCCGAGCGATGGGTATAGATCCTGTTCGAGCCACAGGAGTATTCAAGCTCGAGAGAGCTCCTCCTCATGAGCATTGATGGAGTGCGAAACCTGTTTCGACTCATTTGTGCATATGCTGGCCGGCCAACGACCAGGACATGGTACCGGCTCCTTCCCTACTGCGGGGGTGACTCTTTGATGTACGTTGCATTTTTGTAAAACGAGGATCCGTTCGAGTTCGTTCGAGATCTTTTCAAGCAAAAGGAATCCCGTGCAACGCCCGAGGAGCAAATTGAGACGATGTACGCATGACGAACATGAGGTACAACGGATGACGGGAAGTTCTGAGGCATCAATACCTGAAGTCTTGTCAGTCAACACGAACGACGAAAAGTGAGGGCTGCTTACCCATTCGGTCTCGATTTCATCCATAAGACTCGCCAACGCAATCGGCTTTGAGGCTGGGGAATTGCGGCTTCCGTCACTAGAGGAAGGTCAAACAAATGGATGAGCAGGATACATGCCCGGAGTCTGCTTCCACCTCTGTTAGCGGCACTAGGGATTTCCAGACCCCAACCTTGACGCTGACACGATCGGCGAAAAATCGTGGGCTGCAAGAGAGTATGGACAAGAAATCGACCGCAGAGCCAGAAGTTTAAGAGCCAATCACTCTGGGAATATCGAGATCGGAGAGATATCATGTGTCAATGTCCTAGGATCCTTGATTGGGCACCTATCGACTACCTGTAGTCAACATGGCCGGCAGCGCGGAACAGGCACTCCTACAACCCACGGTCTCACCAGCCGAGTTCTGCGTGTATCGAGGATCAAGGTATTTGGACTTATGAAGGAGGTAGACCTTTCTCTTGACGATTGCGAGACAATGCACCGATTTCCTCGTTCAGAAACCCCTGTGTCCTGGTGAGTATCGTGCAACGACTTGTTACCCATCATAGCACAATCTACCATCCTTACCCAGGGCGTTATCACAATTACTCCACCAAAGTCAGTCTGCTCGTGGCAGATCCGCGGAGATCTATGTGAACAGCTTCTTCAGGGGATTGATCGTGGCGACGTGAAGGAGGATGACACAGTGCCTCAGGCACTTGTTCCTGACACTTGTGCCGGTGCACTTTGTTCTTGTTCACTGCATCTGCTCTTGGCCAACCCGACGGCTGGTCCATTTTCTCTCTTCTTACAAAAGGAAAGGGATCGATCGGCTCGGAGCGACGGCCGGCGTGCAATCAAGCAGAGATGGGCGACGAGCCAGTGTCAGAGAAGGGCTTTGCGGACATTGAGCATCCTGAAGACAGCCACAAGGAAAACCAACCACAATGCCTGCATATAGGACGCATTATGAACATGATCAGTCGGCGTGTGATGAGGAGAGGAGCAAACACAGCAAGAGCAGTCCGCAGTTACAAAGCACAACCATATGATCGCTGCTTTAGACGGTCAGTTCTCGGGTTTTCTGCAAAGCATAGGGCGGCGAGGGGCACTGCCTTGATATTGACTAGGGCCCGAGCATGTCTACCATACCGCACCTTTCACCTTGATGCTGAGCAGATCTTGGCTTGGTGGCACTTGCATACTTACATGATCACTATTCACATGCCCCTAGGGCCTGTCAAATGCACCTTCTCCAGGGATCCTCGTCGTCAAACACCATGAGATGCCGTTGTCACTGGACCGCGATCTGCTCGACAAGCACCCGCCTCAGTTGATCTCAACCTCAATAACAAAGACGGAGCCATGTGACGGAATGTGCAACTGACTTCATGAGAATGAGCGACATTGACCAGAGAGCCTGCCAGCTCAACTTCTCGGAATCTTGCTGGCGGAGTGTCCGCCTCCTCCTCAGCCTGCCAACAACCCTTTATTCTCTATCACGGCGAGCTCTTCCCTCGTTATCCCAGTCGTGATCTTGCTAGTCTAGTAACTGCAGGCTTTTGGCATAAGAGAAAGGTCGCAGCATGACTGGGACATAAATCGCTCCTTTCTTGACATGGCGGGTTTCCCACCTCCTCGAAAATACCCAAACAGTCTTGTTATTGCGGGGGGTGCACACAGGCCTTGGAAGGGAAAAGCACCGGAAGCGGACTTCGAACTAATAGCACGCTCTTTAGGTTACCTCATGGCTAGCCATCACTAGCCTCCTTCAACAACGGCATGACACTCATCCCCCTGAGCGGAGCAGGAGGCCAGCAAATGGGAAACCTTTCGTTTCGGGAACAGGATATCAACCGGAACTTGACGGATTGCAAGCACCCTTGGTATAACAATGTGAACGAGGACACTTCGGATGGTGAGGATTAAGGAGACAAGGCAGAGTCCAGAAGACCGTGCGTTGGTGTAAGAGTCTTTCCTGCCGAGGATTCCGTGTGTCATGGACAATCCTGTCTAGTCGAAAAGGGTCCCTCGACCACAGGAAAAAGGAAACGCAAGTCGAAGCCATCTGCCGCCAAGATATAGGACGAGAAACGAGCCCTGAATAAGTCGAGACTGCAGCTCTCGACGGCGCCAAAGGAGGTCAAACGGCTGCACAGCTCAGAGGGCGGGTTGATTCGTTCCGGACCGGCCCCTCACGTGTCGATTCTTGCTGCTCAACTTTGGAATATGTGTTCGAACTCGGCGGACCTGCTATGCTGCATCGCAATCTCGCAACAAGACGCTTCGGATTATCCATGGTGAAAAACTCAACATGGAGAATCTGTTAATAACCGCCTTCTTCCTTGTCTCGATCGACAACGGAGCATGTACTAGGATACCTTTCAACTATTTTGAGGCAGAAGAGCTTCCGAGTCGAAGATGACGTATCAAGAAGTCGCGTTCGAGCTAGTCGCCCCTTGTGTAGGAGTCAGGATCACCGCCCGAGCTATCCTCTGGGCGTAATCATGAATGGCAACACCCGAAGGTGCATAGCAGAAAAATCAAGTACCTGCCTGGTCTGCATAGAGTTTTGCACAGAAGGAATCGCAAGACCGCGTCCAACTAACAAGGTATTGTTGCGAGCGGTGTGTCGAGAGCGTTGAAGGCTGCCAATCATGTCGTTTAGTTGCCCCTTCTCAATGAGAAAATGTCGACCGCACAAACTCCCTATTGGAACCATAGAGTCATTTCAGCTTGGGAAATCAACTACGGAACGTGTCGTTTGCACTGAAGGAGCGGAAGCTCGCGGCAGATCGTGGTTGACGTCAAGCGAAGACGTTCAGACCGGAGCCAATCACATTCGTCTTGTCCAGAATCACGCCCCACCCGATAGTCCCCTGAACTCTCTTTCTACAACAAACTGGTCGATAATGAGCTTGTTCATACAACGATGTGTTGGGTTCTGTATTTAGGATGCCTACTCCCCTATCAGTCTCATACAGCATCAAAGCTCAGGACGTCCGGGGGCCCCTTTGGAGTGACTTGTCAGCCAGCAAATTTTGATCGAAGACTTCCACCATCACCGCCTAACCCCTGCTCTTTGACTCCGACACCACATCGAGGCGGACACTTGGCGTTCCTTTGACGTGAAGTCTAGTCTACCGAAAGTGATGCTCAGAGGATAGACTTATCTGTCGTTCTGGCGGCATCTTTTCTCCAAGCACGACGAACGAGTCCAAGGCGACTTATCGGATCCGTGATGCCGAATCCAGGCCTGTGCAGCCAGGAAGTCGCAAACGAGCCGGTCGTGGCATCATCTGCACATCCGCAGCGATGGAAGGCATTGTCCTGTACTAGCACGCGGCTAGGGATGGGGCGACCCCGAGTTATACCGATGAGGAGCGAAAGTCAGGCATCGGGAGCTTGCGAAATGAATCTCACCATATACCTTTCACAGAATGACATTCACGCACTGACAGACTATCAGGACGTCGGGAGACAGCCTGGAAGTATCATAGATACCACAGAGACGAGAGTTGGGGATGATCGCTGCATAGTGTAGCTCATGACGAAGCAATTGAAAATGATAGCTGTTGGGGCCCCGCCATAACTCAATGATCCCAGTGATGGGAAATTGGTTCTAACCGCCTTTGTCCTTGACCTCGTGATCTTGGAGCGAGCTTCGAACAAACACGTAAAGCTTGTCATCAAATATCAATGTCGTAGATAGCGCCCCGTTCAACCGCCATGTTGTCAGACACGTTTGTCGCACGGAAATCTCGCCAGGGACACCCTGTTGTTGTCGGGGTATATGAGAATGGCACACAGGCATGTCGCGCTGGCCACATACCATTAGAAAATCACAACAGTCTCGATGCGAGCCTTCTCGAAACATCACGGTCGCTCAGGCTCCCAAGGCGCGGAAAGAAAATGTTCGTATGAGAGGAAACATGCAGGACATTTTCGGTTGCAGGTCGTGAAAGCGAATATGCTGGTAGATGAAATTATGGGCGCAAATTCGTCAGCAGGTCAATAAAATAGGCCAAGTACAGACCCTCCGCGGCCTGGACACAAGGCCTGGAACCCAAAAGATTGTTCATCTCGGGGATGGAGCTCGAAGGGATATGTTCGGGACTCATTAGTAGCTTCCTGCCGTAGAGACTATCGTTCCTTCAGACGAGGGTAGGACCTTATATAAATGACTGGATCACTGAGTAGGAACAGAGAGTCCTTGATTCAGCGGACACTGTCGGTTTGCAGTTTCTCTTTCTCGTTGAAAAGAAACACAGAAACATGAGCATACAAATGGGAGGCCAAGTTATCTGCCTAATCAAGAGCTTGAACGGACCTCGAGTGTTATTCCCTTTGATACGAAAGCAAATTATGACAGTTTGACAAGGCTGCACGGCTGCACAGATAACGGTGATAGCAAACAAGGCCGTAACTTTGGCCTTGGTGTGCCTCCAATCGTCGAAATTCATGAAAAAAGCCATGGTCGGCTTGACCTCAAGGGCATTATTCCAATGAGAATGTCCACGCTTTGCCATATGTTGAAGAAACCAATGTGGACTGAATGAGAGCAACGAACTTGAGAAAGGACTCGAGATAAAAACATATTTCATCAATAAGATGAAGTGGAAGCTTCTTGACACCGTCGACCATTGGCAAAGGAAAGGGAATGTTCAAGGACCGACCGACAGGCTTGTTTGTGAAGAGCTCTGTGCATGATATTCGAGAGGCTTTCAGTTGGTTAAGTGGCCTGGGAGCAACGCCACATTACAAAATATCGTCAAACCTGGACATACTTTCCCAGTGTTCCTGAAACATATTGGCGCGGCATTGATGAGTGTCGGTCTTTGATTTCGCAGGGTATCAAATCAGAGAGGAGCATAAGAGAAGTCCCATCTCCAGCACAATGACTTCGCGCTCATCAGCAAGAGAACCCGATACTGTGTTTGCCTGACATGTATAGCCGGTAAGCTCAGGAAAGCTGCAGAAAAGACATGTGGTTCGCCACAGACACACTGTTTTTGGGACCATTGTTCGCTGACAGCGCACCAGTATTCCGCAAAATGAAAAGCGCGGATTCATTAATAGAAGGGCTCCGATAATGTGAGGTTCTGAGCTTCGTGGTCAAGAGGTAAACTGGATTTCGGAATAGGTGTTGTAGAACCTATCTCGAAGAGCTGGGCATCATTTCCCTCGTGCCGTAGTATCTGCGCCTGCACATGCATACTTCGTGCCAGGCTTAGGGCTGCTGCAACATTTCTTAGGACGCCAATATTGCCGTGGAAGATATCCGTCCATTCGCTGACTGCCGTGATCAACGGTCGAAGATTATACAATGGTGAAGGCCATACTCTCTGCCATCGCTGATAACACTATCCAGAGGATATGTGTCGTCAATCCGCTGTAAGTGAGAGACGTGTCCTCGTTCAGATTGTGTTTCTCTTCGTGTCAAGCACATTCCAGCCTCCCACCCAAAGGTATGCCCGGAGCCTGACAATACGGAGATGCTGCGCAGATCCAAAAGTGGCTATTGATAACGATACTACCAAGCGATAGTGAGACGTATTATTGAATGGACAGCATACGCCACTGGTATCTAATGGTACTGTGCCCGGACGTCGACGGACCAGCTTGGAGCAGCGAAATCCACATTTCGGTCTGGCGGGAGAAGGCGCCCGAGGCCGGGACAAAAGCCAGCATAATGCATTGTAGGGTCCCTAGTAATCAACGTAATCGGCATTCTGGCGGAGGAAAGACCGCAGCGGGAGAGACAACACGTCAAAAGTAAGGGTTGATATGACTAAGTTGTGGTGCTGCAATCGACCCTGTGGTCGTGCTTCAGTGGCTGCCGTGAGCTCGGTTGGGTGGTAAGGATGTCTGTACAGACTGTTCCAGCTCTTTGATGACGGCCCGATCCGGCCGACCTTTGTCTTCTTCTCTCACCAGCTCCCCCGACTCGAGCGCAGCAGACAGCTCATGGCAGGTCGCGTACTCCTTGTTCCAACACTTCTCGATAATATGTCCTAGCCAGAGCCCCTGGGTGCTCGGAAGGTCGTTTCTTAGTGGGAACTCGGCGATCGAGGCTCCATGAAGCTGGTGTTTATAAAGATCAAAGCTGCACTTGTCTGCTGTAATGGTCTCGTAGAAGACAGCGCCGAGCTGACCAATCTCTGTGTGTATGGTGTAACCGTTATCGTCACAAGTCTGGACATTGCAGTCGATATCGAGAATGGATGACTCGGAAAAGTCGGATAACTTGATCGACAGGTCTTTGTCAACAAGGAAATTTCTCGCGCTGATATCAGCGACAAGGACGCGGCGCTCGTGGACCGCAGCAAGAGCGCGAGTCATCTGGCGAAACCAGTAAAGCTGTAGCGTGGGAGGCGGGAAATCAAGAGTTCGATTTCGCGCGAGGAATTGGCGAAGATCAGCGTTTGCCATATAAGTCATTCGAATGCCCGGGGCTTGAAGATCGAAGGACTCAATCACTCCGTCACAATTGCCGAGACGCTCGAAGACATTCTTCTCATGTTGGATTTTCACAGAGTAATCTTCGTTGTACGCAACTTTGACTGCAACGCCGTTGATCAAGAAGACGGCCCCAGTGCCGCCCTCTCCGACATATTGCCCGCCCAGTCTCTGCATGTCCGCTATCGTCATCGCGTCCTGTATTGCTGAAGGCAGAGGGCGCTTCAATCCTGCCATGGCTCCGCACTGGTCACAAGGCCTAGAGCGCGAATCAAGGCGGAAACAAGCTGATAGAGGTGAAGGCCGTCTGCGATGAGATCTCTCCTGGTGGGATTATGGCTGGACCAGCGTTCCTGAGGTACGAATGGGTGCGAAGCTCGAGCGGTTGAGGCTCGGGCGCAGGGCGCAGGGTAGTGCAGCTAGTGAGGGTCTGGGGGGGGGGGGGGGGGGGGGGGGGGGGGGGGGGGGGGGGGGGGGGGGGGGGGGGGGGGGGGGGGGGGCGGTTTGAGAGGCTCTCCTTGGGCCTCTGTTCTTGACCACGACTATCTTGATGTTAACCTCGAAAATGGTACTTGTTCCAATATGGTAGAAGCGTCGATTGTCAGAGCGAGACAAGGCTTGATAGGGGTGACATGCGACTTAGGTGCGTCTTGCCCATGGCGAAGAGTTGCGTTAGCGAGCCAGTAAAAGTGGTTCAGAAACTTGTCCCTGGAGAATGACTGGAGTCATAGACGGTGCGCGTGAGCTGCTTGAAAGAGGTACGTATGCGCGAGACGACTTGGCTGAAGGGTCCAGTGCGGCGGCAGCTGCAATCAGGCTCTGGGATAGTGGTCAAGCTGGAGTCTAGAAAGAATGTTTGCGTTACCTAGAAAAGGACCCTACAAGATATCAGACACCACAACGCGACAAACGTGTCAGCTTTGGCGGCGAGGCTCGCGGAGTTGGCGATTCACGTGATCATGTCAGAGCGCCGCTGTGACTCAATGGAGGAACATGGTGAATTCAGCTAGGTCCTGGGGACCGTCTAACTATATACCTTCGAGTAATTTACAGGGCCCTACTCGCGCTAGTCCGAAGGCCTTCGGCCGAAGACTAGCGTGACGGTCATTACACGTCCTTGGCATCTCTGCCAGTCACACCGCAGTATTCTGCCTCACTCTGTGAATGGTATTTACCTCCTCTTTTCAGCCATCCACCGACATCCAATCAACACCATCGCCCGCATCAAGAGTAAACCGAGAAACTCTCGGTGGAGACCGTGAGCTTGTTCCACGTATGCACATCTTATGGCCACACCTATTTAGCGATGGGGGGCTGGCACGTGTCCACTATCTTGTCACGCTTTGATACTAGCGATAGAATCAACTTCAGATTAACAAGTTACCAGTGATTGAAAGGCTCTCTGGAGGGCAATACGAGGCTGCAAGCAAGGATCCTGGGTCAATGGATGTGACGCTGGAACTGGTCATTCTTGATTAACTAGGTAGTTCCACGACATGGTGTGGTCTTTGCCCTCCCTGCCGCCCTGGAAAGGACCGAGAGAACATGCCGGTCTTTGAAAATCCCAGGCTGGGACGAGCTTTCGCGCACCGACCACGGAGTACCACCAAATTCTCTCCCTCGCCCTGTCGATTTTGGGCAGCAGTGGCTGCTTCTATCCGTGGCTTACCCCCCGCTGCACGGGCCTCTGCCTTCAGCTCTTGCTTTTCCTCCCCATCCGCCTCACAATATTCCAGCAAGCTGTTGTCGATGTCGAGTGCAGATCCTGAGATTGTGAAACTAGTCCTCCCTGTACTCTGAATCCTCCTGTTCCTGTCACAGTTCTTCCCTCTTCTCCTCTTCCTCGAATTGTCTCAACCGTGCGCCAGAAACTTCTTCTGGGGAAGGATATCGAGGATGCTGTAGCTGTGGCAGTTCAACTTCGTCGTCGACAAAATCCACACCCTGCTCACTGCTGTTTTGATGCCTCAGTGCCCGTTCGAAATATGTACAGAGTTGTGATGGTGTGATCTGAACCTTGGTGAGGTGCTCAGGTAGATCATTGATCTGTTCAGCTATCGCCCTAGTTGGTGCGAGATACTCAAGGGAGAGACAGAGTCCTGAGAAATCGGTATTTGGGACACCATTCTTGTCGCAGAAAACCTGAATTTTGGTCAGCTTGAAACTGTAGAAACACCCAGCCGACTGACCTCTTCTTTCACTATTTGCTCAACGGCTAATTTCACCTTCCCTGTTCCTGAGGGAGTGAACTTTGATCGCCACATTGATACCGTAGCCTGTTTCCCTGTTGGGTATGGAAATTTGAAGCCAATAACACAACGGATACTGCCCTTGCTACCCACGATATATTCTTCTGCAAGGATGGGAAGGTCTTCCTTTCGCTGTGAGTGCGCGACCTCGATAACGATACCCGGAAATCTGGCGGATTCGTGATGTAGAGAACTATCAGGCCCCTTATTGCATTCAAGCTCCTTTTTAGCGTCCCCTTTTGGATCCTTCTCGGTGGCCATCTCGGCGTATCCGTGGAATGACAGGGTATTTGCGGCGGAAGCGGTACTCTCAATGTTCTTGACAAACTCGTGAATGAAGGGGTGTTGAGATGCACGCAGCTGGTTAAGTATTTTAATCGCGATCATCTGGCTGAATACCGCATGGAGACGTGTTTCGAGGCCCATCGCAAACTCTTGTTCGAAGAAGGAGTAAAACTTCCTGAAACACTAGTTTAGCTTCGAGTCACTGAAGGGACAAACTTCCAAAAACCTCACCGTAGGGTATCAAAAGGCTTGTTGTCCGAGAAGAATTCCACGAGTTGACGGTAGGTAGCAGGTGTCAGCTTGAATCGCACCCAGGAGTATGGTTCGACAAAACATGAGGCTAAGGAACCTTGGACGCGACGCACTGCAGCTTCAAGTTCTTGATTGCGATCGCTGGGGGACGAGGCCGCAGTCATGTCCCGAGAGGCTTCACTGCGGAGGCGCGACTGCTCTAGGTCTACAGGCGTGCTCTGTGCTGTTAAGTGTTCCCCAGTGGGTCGCATCTCAAAGGGTTCACGCCGGTAATGGCGCGTCGACGACAGAAGCCTGGTATTATTGTCGTGCAGATAATCCATCCTTCTTGTCGGCGGCATTTACTTGAGACGATTCAAGAATGTGAGACAACATCAAGACATGTCACAATGTGGAGACGATCAAGAGGAAATGGATTAATTAAGTCTAACGTCAGATCATACAGCCATATACGAAATGCCTCCGGTCGAGCATGAAGGACTATCAGTGCAAGTTGTTGACGTCACGTGCAGCACGGACGTCCTGCCGCTGTCTGCGCACCTCGAATCGTGTGTGCACTTCTTACACGGGAATTTGGCAAGGAGACGGGACTGCATTGGCCCTGGAGTCGTCTACAAGACGTCATTTTTAGCTTGTCGCTTATCAACCGAGAATTCCTTTAGTGGTCCCCGTGGATCGGATCATCGGAAACTGAAAGTCAGCCATCGGCCCCAGAAGCCGCGCTCCCCACCAGACTACAACCAGCAAGTGTGAAGATGAGCTGCTCACTTTTAGCGGCTTTTCGACAGATGGCTCATCCGCAGGGCTTGTTCTCACGGTGGACTCTTAGTTCCGACGCGCCACCCGACTTCCATGGTTCACACTACCTAAAACGCGAGATAATGGCGTCGATGATCGCAACCCAGCCCTTTCGTCCAAAACAGCATGTTCAGACCAGTTTCTGCTCAAAGAACCTACGGTCCAGTCAGCTCCGAATGACCCAACCGATCTCCTCCCTCTCGCTCCTTTCCGCGAGGTGCGTCCTCGGTCCTTATCATTCTCCCAGCACTCGCAAAGAAGAAAGAGGAGGGCCGGGTTACAGTCAGCTCCATTCCGACGACACATGGTGTCTTTACATTGGTCTCTGATACTGGAAACGTGGTAGCTGCGCTGAAGCGGAGAGCGTAAATCTTGGGTCTGAAAATTGGATTTGCGCAACGTCAGATGCTCCAGCATGATCGTGTACGTGAGATGCAAATGACGCATCTCTTACCCATGTAGCTCCAGTGTACTGATTCACAGACACAACGAGTGATGTGAACACCAGCATTTTAATATATATATATTTCCAAGTCCACAGCCACTTCTCCCCGTTTTGTTCCCCCTCAGTGTTCGCCTTCCGATGCACCGCGTTTCTAACGAGTTTGCATGGGCCCTGTTTCAAGCATGGAGGAAAGTATCTTTATTTCGAAAGGGACACAATGGTTGAGCTTCCACAATTGTACCACCGCCGACACCGGAAATGGGGTCTGCAAGCCGTGTTGGAGGACCGAGAAGCGTACAAAGTGAGCTGGTGCAAGTTTGAACCCCCAATTATTACCCCTCAACATCTCCGGAGTCCAGGTGATATGGAACACAGCTCGACCTTACATTACGCTTTATACATTGGCAAGGTTAGGTACGGTGCATCATACGCCACCGACAATGTACGGGAGTTGGACCCTGCCCCTTTCCAAGTCTTCCTCCATCCCGTCGACAAGAGTTTTTGGATAGTTTTCGACGTTTATCCTATGCATGGTTTTGATCGGTTCCCAGAGGAAGAAGAGTGGACGGACACCGATGAAGAGGAATTCAACGTCGGTGAGGGGAATCGCGTAACGGTACGCGTATACCGCCACTCAATTTGGGACGCGCTCGAATCTGCACCTCCTGTCGTTGCTTGGCGCATACCATTTTCTGACATGCAGCGTATCGCACGGCGGCGCACATATGTTCGTGGTCTCGTTAGCACGGTCATATTCGACGATAACGGACCCGTGCCGCAAGTGGTCGTGGACGGGTATGATCCTACCTGGAACAGCTCCGTTGGCCCGCGGCCACTGATATATGCGCCGGTGAAAGAGTGCTGGACGAAGTACAGGGAGGAAATCTTGAAGCCAGCGGCGGCCTTAGCTGCTCGTGGTGGGATCCAACGCTGCGGCCGAGTTCCAACAAGACCCTGGACCAAACGATCCGTCAGCCGACTAGATCTGGAAGATTCGTCCACACCTACTGGGGTTGGTCAAACTTCAATGGAAGCCAACAGTCTTGGGGTGGGGATGGGGTCAATATCTTTGTGCAGCAAGTCTGTATTGGTGTTTTTGCTGTTGGAGGAGGGAGGCCGAAGAGTTCTGTCAGGTGTATTGGTCAAGTGTTACCTGGGTCTTTTGTGTTTTGCTCCTTTTGCCTTCCCCCCATTTCCCACGACGTGGAAAGAATATGGGGGTAAAGGTGGTGCCTCAAACCCGGGTTGTGTTTGTCGCTATCTTAGATCTAGTCCATGATTGCATTTTACTTTCCCCCGAGAAATCAAGCTGCAAAACTCTCCCTGTAGTATGCAAACATGAGCAAGTCACTGTAACAGGCACTCACTGCTCGACATGATTACCGCGGAGATAGAGTACCATGCAAAGTAGTGACGCGCATGTATTGATTCACAGGCTGAGTGATCTGGACATCCCTCTTTGCGGGGATTGAGGGCGTCGCCATTGGCGGTTCTTGAGAGTAAGAAGTACTGAGATGTCTTACTCTCTTCCGCTTCTTGTGCTCCCAGCTCAATCCTTGTCTCTATTTCATACTTCTCCAGTCGTTCCACCGGTGATCTCATCCTGCCACCGCCTCCGATACTCTGCCTTGAGATGGACCTGACGCAAACATGTTCGTTTGTCGCTCCCGAGAGGCAAACTACGCAAATAAAACGCCAAAGAGTGTTACGGGAGAGACTGAGGAAAGGCAACTGCTAAGGAAATGCATAGTTTCTATCTTGATGTATACTCTGAGCCCCTACACTCGTGTCGAGGTAGATTTTTCCAAGCCTGCAACCTTATCCACCTCTAAATATTGTCACAGTATCTAACAAAATCTCTCTGGTACATCTTTCCAGGAAGCCACCATCTCTTTCCGATCCCACAATGGACATTCACACCTCGTCAATACTAGCCCTCTGCCGCAAGTGAATCGAAGTCTTCACCTCGCGACAAGTCCACGTCCAGCTGTCTCGGGAAAAGCGTTGAGTGGCATTGTACCCGAAAGCATGGCTTTTTGTCGAGTAAAGCGAGAAAGGGTCACCTTGATCTTGAACGTGCCTGTCGAAAACCCCATCTGCCTCGTCGGCGTTGCGGACGTTTTCAGTGATCATGATCAGGCCGTTGCCGAAGGCCAACCACTCCATGCTGGTGTGAATTTGCGGCTTAGGTGGAGGCAAGTGAAACATCGACGTCAATACTTTCGCCCAGGTACATCCTTCGAGCACTTCTCTAGCGTCTCTGCCCTGCAGAGCCACGAAGGAACAAGCCATGTTCATCCCATCCAATCATGTGTCCGTCAATGTTGTTGGCCAGCTAGTTCGTCCCTCTGTGTTGTTGAGTGAAGGAGTGATTCCAGAGGTTCGTCCATATTCGTCAGACTTTTGGCGACGACGTTCGAGCTGCATGTGGACGTCGTCTTCGGCGCAGTTCAAGTTGGGGCTGAAAAAAGTGTTTCGACTTGCCCGTGTCCGCTCACCCCAATTGAACAAGTGATAGCATTTGAGACACGGAGAACACGGACTGAACGTCACTTTCGAGGCATCAAGCCCAACACGATATGCTACTCCCGGCTCATTTCCGTGGTCGAATGGTGTAAATCCGCTGTTTTTGACTTGGTCATCATATCTTGCAAGCCTACCTGGGGGTTGTTGCTTTGCAGACTTCTCAGGGTTGTGAACGATATTTTTGCTGTCCTGCCAAAAGGGCGCCCAGTGTATTCGTTTTGTCGTCCAACTCGCTGTCTAGACCCCCAACAAGACGGTCAAGACGCAATTTGCCGAAGGCGTTGCTGACAGACTCAAACGGGGACCATCGCATCTTGCATTCCCCCCACACCATTCCTTCCTCGGCAGCACATACGAAAATGGTGGCAGGAAGGCCTGTGCTTGGGTTGAACTTGACTTTCCGCCGTTCGGGTAATTTTAGCTTCAGCTTCTCGAGCACTTTTGCTTGGAAGGCACCTAAACGAGCTGTACCAAGAGCTGTGGAACGTAGTTGTAGGCTGTGGTAATGCAAGTCGATGAGGAGCCATAGGGCCGAGACAGTTGCGATTTCCCATTCCGTTTTCTCTAAGTTCAGATTTGGTTGGGCCTCGAGGATTGTCGTCTTCAATTCTTCCAAGGCTATGCCAATTGTTTTCAGATCGGATTCGTCCGCTTTAGTTTTGGGGAAAGTCTTATGTTCCTCGAACTCCTTTTTCCAAAGTGATATACTGGCATAAAAAAGGCCGAGATGGTTCCAGATGTGATCAACCGTCTTGGGTCTGGGTGTTGAGAGACTCCTTTGACTTGTCGGCTGTACCTTTGCCGATAGCGTGCATGGTGGAGATCATGGTATCAATACAAACAAGGAAAACGAGAAGCTTTTCTTGTCCGTCTTGTGTCGCTTGTTGACCTTCTCTGAGGGGCATGTTGTTCTGTAGACTCCATAGGTCGTGGACGTTGAATATCTGAGTGGTATATTCCATTGACGTCGATTCGAAACAACGCTTGTGTAGCAAGGGGATATTGTAGATTGGGAGATCAAACAGATACACTGCCAAAAGGAAAGAGAGCCAGCTCAATAGAGATTGTGGAACGATGAGTGTGAAGGACATGCTTCATAGTGCCATGCCTGGGTTCCTTATATGTGCCACCTATATCAAAAGCAGTATACAAACCTCGTCGCTGCCCGGAGCAATGTTCTCACTGTTTGTTCAGGCCTCTTTGTGCCATCAGACCTGTCTCAAACACACAAGTGCCTTCTGACAATCTGACACAAGACACACTTCTGGCCCACACTGGAGAGGCGTACAATGAAACACCCAATCGGGGCAGTGCTGTGGTTCCAGTCGTGGCCTGTATTTCGTCGTGTGTGAACGGCGAGTCCCAATGGCCCCGGGAGATCCGGTCTGTGGATGTGATGTGCGGCGGAGTGCAGAGCATACTCCGGGTCAAACACTTCATTTTGCCTGGCTTTGGAAGCAACGAAGGCAGTGGAAGCGGAGGAAATGTACATCTCTTTCTTACCTTGCACCTTGCATGTATTCGCGGTGCGTCCTCAGCTCCCATAGAGTGGTTGAGGCAACTGTTGAGGAGGAGACCGGACGGCTCATTGCTTGCATACCTGGCTCAGAGAGGCAGCTGAAAGGTCGTTCAGTCACAAACTGGGACTCAGTTTGTTTCTTTGTTGATGTCTCTAAATGAGTAGAAATAGGCCAGGTTATCGTCCGGGCTTACCACACCCCAGAAAAGGCCCCTTTCGATTTGTCTCACGTGTATCGCTTGGTAGCGGCGCCCGAATCAAAACCAAAAAGAAACAAAAGATCAGACGGAGAAACCATAGAAACCAAAAAAAAAGCTCACTCTTTGCGCGGCGATCTCCGGTTCTACCCAGGCCTTCACAGTACGCACATGGTGTCTTGCGCTTTTTATTTCGCCCCTGCAAATCCATTGTCTTTGTGTCTTCGAATAGGTCTCTGTTGACTCATTCACCCCTTTTCAGGGCTTGGACTCTTTATTTTGTTATTTTCCCCTACCGAATACGTCTCACCCTTGGTGAAATTGGAGTGGAAGAGGGGTAGGGCGTGTCTTACCGTCTGGGAATGCAAACGGATGGTGATAGATGGTGCGTGTACGGGAATAGTCAGCCCTCCAGAATTAATGGCTCTGTCTCTGTTTTTCGGTCTTTTGGGAGATTGAGTGTTGAGAGCGAAGTGAAGGCGAAGATGGAACAATGAAACGGACCCACAATGGGCTATATCTGTGTAACAAGAAGAGAGGGGGAGGGAGAGGTGCTCTTGGAGCCGTGGAAGTGGGCGGGGAAGGTAGCGCCGAGTGGGTCATGTGACCAGAACTTCGAGAGAGCGAAAACAGGGAGAAAAGGTGGTGAGATAAGTGTGTGTCGGAGTGACGGAATAACTTGATTTTAGGTGTCGCCGAGAACGGTGGACGAAGAGCAAAGCTGTGAGGCTATATGGTGGAAAGGGACGGGGAAGGATGGACACAAACCCCATCTCCCCCTTTTTTAAGTCCTCTAGTGGTGACAGATCATAGGCTCGATTAGCTGTGGTCGCTATAGATCCAACTAGCTAAGTCCACGCTATACTTGCGATTGGCGGTCACCTCCAATACGCCCGATTGGCTGCTAGAGAACAGCGTTCCTTCATCCCCTGCCGACCTCCGCGGCGGCGCTAAATCTCCACATTGAGACTGGTGGGCTTAGGCTGCCTTCGTCCTCAACAACCTGAACCGCTACATATGAGGACCGTGATGCATTGACAAAACCCTGGTTGCTTTTGCCAACTCCCACTATCACTGATAGTCACGCCTGTTCTGTCTCATTTTCCACCCAACAGCTCAATAACTTGACGGATCCAAAAACGGCTTTCCTCGTTCTTTGAGATCCTGTCGAGTGAAATCTTTGCGACAACCAGTCACGTCTGCCACATTCCAAATAAATACTCGTCTCGGTGAGCGCCCTAGCGGGTCCAGATGACAGATCTGCGCAAGCTGCTCCTCGTCTGATGCCTCAAATAGGCACAATGTCTCTACCGGCGGACAACGGTTGTATCATCCCCAACGCTCGGCCCTGTCTCTCTCATTTACGGTCACCAGATCCCTGGAGCTATGATAGACACGCTACGACCTTCCCTATACTTCGTCTCGGCCACTCTCCGCCACAATTGGATGTGAAATACTGCGGCATCGTTGAGACCACACCTCGATCATCAGCTACTCTCCAACACAAACCTCACGGGATTGCCCCCCAGACAACCGAGACGGAGTGAGAAAACGAAGACAGGCGGAAAACCTGAAAAATAACCCTGAATTGCTGCCAAGCTGAAATCCTGTCTGACAAGAAGTCACAAATTCGTTCGCAAGTGTGTGGAGGATCGCGATATAGGCACCGGCCCGAGAGCGTTCGAGTCAAGGGAAAGCAAGATGGGAGAGGAAGATATGGAACAGAAGAGCGGACACCGAAACATTATGCGACGAGGAAGCCGGGTGTGGCGTGTGAGGATCACAGGTTTCGAGTTTGACGAGAGCCCCTTCAGAATCCGGGCCTTCTGATCTGTCTTCGGCGAAATTGGTTTCTGGAGACTATTTGAGAGCGGTGCAAAACCTGGCGTCCAGGTTCATGTGATCTCGTGCAGTGACGAAGCCTTCCACATAGCACGGGTGAATACGACCTTCGCTGGCAGCCAATCTTCCCTGTATCCACCGTCAAGGCTTATCACTACGTAGCCCGGTGTGCTCAGACTCTTTATCCTGGGTTACAAGACTTCGAGAGACCCTCATACCGTGGAAGGAAGTTTTGAGTTGACCACGCCAGTACCCCTTACATCCATCGTGGCGCGGAGAGAGCGAGGGGTCCCTGTCTTGGGCCTGCAACATGACGTCGATGCATACAGCTGCGTTCAAGTTTTGCTTCTTTTGAGCCTCACCACCTTTCTGGCTCAGCGTGCGACCCGATCGACAAAGTCACTGTATCACTCGTTCGACCTATCTTCCCTACCTCTCGCTGTGTTGTCAGGCGACCTACTGTCCATCCGCGGCCCGGTGCGATCGACTACTCCAGGGTTATCTTCACACAAACTCATCCTTCCTCGATCGCGGCCACAAACTTGAGTCTGGTGAACGAACTTCGTCGATTTTCGTGGGTATCCTTAAGGAGCTAGAGTCAACTTGACCTTGCCACCAGAGTCCCAGGTTGAAGATGGAGGAAGTTTGCGAACATTACCCGCTGAAACCGACTCCGTGAAAGACACCTTGGGGATCCACGTGGAATGGGGGCGAACCGACTCTAGTTCCTGGCGAGCACAACGATTGCCTCACGGACGAGATGCGGGAAGCCAGACCGAATCCCTTCCAAAAGCTAACGTCAAATCTCTCATGCCCCTTCAGCTTACAGGAGAACCGGTCATATGCCTATCTGCCTTCCGAGCACCTCATGCGGGATAGTTCATCTTTGTGCTGGTACCCTTGGGATCGCCAAGCCCGAGCCATGCCAAACAGTCAATTTCTGTCTATTTCCCCTGACCGGGCACTTCGACGATTGCGCACTGGAATACCCAACCCATCCCAGCTGAAGATCTCTGTCCATGTATGCATGATACTGAACCAACGCTGAACGAAGTGCATCAGTTGTGGAGCAGAAGAAGGGCGTGGTCGATACTGAACCGATCACTTTGACATGGCGCCGTCGACCTGTGAACGGAGAGGGCTGCCGTCTGAACATCGAACGAGTGAGGCATTGACCGTCCTGCGATCAGATTGAAAGATCACCCATCACTAGCGCATACTTCCTGTTCCCGAGTTGCACAGTACTGGGCGGCGCTCAGTAAGGATAAAGCGAAGTGGCGAGAATGTTTGGGTGCTGCATTGAAACCCTCCGCCAAGATACGCCAAGACACGGATAAACTACGGCCCGCCATATACGGTCGCCAGACTTTCCCCATTCATCATCAGAGAGGAGAAGTACCAAGATGCCAAAACACACCATATACGTGTAAGTCTTACCCAGCCATCGCCACAACAGAACCTTTCGGGGAGGAAGTCCCAAGCTTGTAGTCACTCTAGCGCGCATTACTCTATGATGTTTTCCCCCCCCAAGTACGGAGGAATGATCTCGACAGTCCACACTGCTCAGGCACTCGGGATAGGACACTACTTGTGTACCTCGTAACTGTGTAGGTAAACCAGGTTCCTAGGGTACACTGACTTTAGCCTGGCACATTGTCATACAGCCAGACCGCCTGCCAGCAAAATCCCGACCGAGCACTTTTGCTTTGTCCGACAGTTTCTCAGCACCTAACAAACCCCGTTCTCAGCGAACCCCTGTCTGCCCATCTGCCCATCTGCCTGCCTGTCTGTCTGTCCGTTTGTGTGTCTGTGTCTGGGTGTGTCTGTTCGTTCATTTTGTTTCTTTGTTGGCCATATTCCCCCCCCCCCCTCTCAGAGTGACAAAATATCCACCCTAAACCCAACGAGACACAACACCAACGCATGTCTTTTTTAGTTAGGGTCCCGGGGTGCCCCAAAACCTCCCCCGGAACAAAGCTCTTGGAGTCTTGCACGTCACCCACCACCACCAACATCCAACGTGACGCATGCTCAATAAAAACACTGAAACCCTGAATACCAACACCAAACACCGAGACCAGGATGGGACTGACCTGACAGCGGAACAGGATCAACTTCCCCAGTGACTTTTTGACTTTGGACTTTGGGTTTCCATCCGTCCCCCCTTAGACAATCATTCATTGTCCAAAAAAAAAAACCCTCTCCTTGGGAGAATCCGTCAAAGTCTCAGTCCATGCGTAACATGACATCTCGCTCCTTGTCCAGCTCGTCCGCGTCGTGTGCTGCATTGGCGAGGTAACAGTCTGTGCCGGTCTCCGTCCCCGTCCCTGGGTCTGTGCCTGTGCCT